TGGTAAACAGAAAATGCTCAATAAATGTCTGTTGAATTGATATATCATGCTCAAAATCATATTTCATTATGTCAGCTAGCCGTATCAGATTGTCAACTTTCCAGCTCTACTCCATCCTAACCCCATAGTTTATAAAAAGGAAAAAAAAGTACACATTTTCAGTGGATTTCACTTTACCAACACAAACACCAAAACCAAAAATAAAATACTACAAGACAAAAACAAAACTACACCTTCAGTGCTTTTTAATTTCATAAAGAGAACTCCCACATTCTGAGCATGGCATTCAGGGTTTTCTAGCATCTGAGTCCTGTTATCCTCTCATCCATCCTCTTCCACATCTTTTCATACCTAGATTCTTACCAATACAATATCATCCATTATTTCTGAAACAGGCAATTTCAGGTTTCCTTAATCATGCTGTGTGTTCAGTTTAAATGTTTCCCCACAGTTTTGAAGCCAAATCATAGTCTTCCTCCATGGGTGAAACTTTCTCTTATAATTTGCTGCAGAACGAATACCCTTCATCTCTCTGCTCTTTCACACTTTGTTTGAGTCTCTATTTTATATATATATTTTGTACTAAATGAATTTTATTTATATGTTTATATGTTTGTCTTCATCACTGGAGGACAAATTATATAAACATTTTGTTGTTGTTGCTTAGTCACTAAGTCATTTCTGACTCTTTGACACCCCATGGACTGTAGCCTGCCAGGCTCCTCTGTCCATGGAATTTAACAGGCAAGAATCCTGGAGTGGGTTGCCATTTCCTTCTCCAGGAGATCTTCCCAATCCAGAGATTAAACCTAAGTCTCCTGCACTGGCAGGCTGATTCTTTACCACTGAGCCACCAGGGAAGTCCATATAAATATTTGCATAATGCTTATTTATCATTTCATTTTTTTCTATTTCTACCATCAGAGACTCACAGAATTTTCTGCACATAGTAGTTACTCAATAATTATATTTTGAAAGGACAAACACCCTTATTTAATACATATGATCAATATAGCGCTGTTTATTGAGCATGATGAAGGCTATTCCAACTACTTAAGTAAGGAAACACCTAAGGAACAATGTGAAAACACCAAATATAAGGAACTCTATACAATGCAAGCTGACAAATATATATTGATCACAAGGTTTATATCACTGTACTGCGTGAAATAAGAACAAATAAGCAGACATAGCCCACTTTCTCAGGAACTAACAATCTAGACTTAGGTATATAATAAGCTCTAATACTTGTTTAACAGTCAAAACAAATCTTGAAGCAATGAGATTAAGCAATTTAAACTAAGAAGCAATGACTGCTGGCAAGAAATCATAAAAGATTTCATTAAAAATGTGATATCTGAACTTGAGTTTAAATGGGGAAGTATGATTTCAATGGGTGAATTGGGGTTGTGAATACATTCCAAGAGAGACATTAACATAAGTAAGATTTAGAGTCAGGAAAAATGTTGACTGCTTTCAAAAACAATGAATACTATAATTTAACAAGATGTTAGAATGACTCTGATAAATAGGGGTAATAAGAGTTAAAGGTGATTTTTAGGCTAGGACCACTGAAGAGGTGCTCAATAGTATATTACAGGTCTAGTAGTAGACATCATTATATTATCAACATTCATAAATATGTAAATTTTCAAAAAAGCAAGAGAGTCCCAGAAAAACATCTATTTCTGCTTTATTGACTTTGCCAAAGCCCTTGACTGTGTGGATCACCACAAACTGTGGAAAGTTCTTCAAGAGATGGGAATACCAGATCACCTGACCCGCCTCTTGAAAAATCTGTTTGCAGGTCAAGAAGCAACAGTTAGAACTGGACATGGAACAACAGACTGGTTCTAAATCGGGAAAGGAGTATGTCAAGGCTGTATATTGTCACCCTGCTTATTTAACTTACATGCAGAGTACATCATGAGAAACGCTGGGCTGGAAGAAGCACAAGCTAGAATCAAGATTGCCAGGAGAAATATAAATAACCTCAGATATGCAGATGACACCACCCTTATGGCAGAAAGCAAAGATGAAATAAAGAGCCTATTGATGAAAGTGAAAGAGGAGAGTGAGAAAGCTGGCTTAAAGCTCAACATTCAGAAAACTAAGATCATGACATCTGGTCCCATCACTTCATGGCAAATAGATGGGAGAAACAGTAGAAACAGCGGCAGACTTTATGGTTTTGGGCTCCAAAATCACTGCAGATGGTGACTGCAGCCATGAAATTAAAAGATGTTCACTTCTTGGAAGAAAAGTTATGACCAACCTAGACAGCATATTAAAAAGCAGAGACATTACTTTGCCAACAAAGGTCCATCTAGTCAAGGCTACGGGTTTTCCAGTGGTCATGTATGGATGTTAAGAGTTGGACCACAAAGAAAGCTGAGTGCTGGAGAATTGCTGCTTTTGAACTGTGGTGTTGGGGAAGACTCTTGAGAGTCCCTTGGACTGCAAGGAGATCCAACCAGTCCATCCTAAAGGAGATCAGTCCTGGGTGTTCATTGGAAGGACTGATGCTGAAGGTAAAACTCCAGTACTTGTGCCACCTGATGGGAAGACCTGACTCACTTGAGAAGACTTGATGCTGTGAAAGATTGAAGGCAGGAGGAGAGGGGATGATGGAGGATGAGATAGTTGGATGGCATCACTGACTGAATGGACATGAGTTTGAGTAAACTCCCAGAGTTGGTGATGGACAAGGACGCCTGGCATGCTCCAGTCCATGGGGTCACAAAGAGTAGGACACGACTAAGTGACTGAACTGAACTGAATATGTAAATTTTATCATTATGTTAGTAGTATATTAATATGGCATAGATTACAGTATATATCAGAAAATATTATGATAATAATCAGTATGAATGGAGCTTTGCTAGTGGGTTTAACCTTGAAGAATTATACAGCAGAAACCCTATTGTAATATCCCAGTTGAGAATAAGGAAGATTTGAACCATGGTGGTTTTGATGTATATGGAAAAATCAGAACAAATGAATGCAGGATAGACTGTGGATAAGGTTAAACGCATGGATTGAAACCCCCTGAATGCAGAGAGCTAAGATAAATTCAAAGACAATCACACTTTCAAGTAGGAGAGAATAGTGGTACATTAGGAGAAATAATCTCTCTGGATTCACTTGTAAAATAATAGTAGTAAGCCTGGCATGCTGCAGTCTATGGAGTCACAAAGAGTCAGACACGACTAAGTGACTGAACTGAACTTCCAGTATTATTCTGCTGATATGTGTGTATTTAGCCTAAAGCCTAGAGATTTAAAGCACTCAATAAATATTAGCTATTGCTAATATTAATTTACCAATAGAATAATCTAATATGAAAAATGGCATCTGACTCTAAAATGTTTATTATTTCATTTATTTATAAATATAATGGAAAGTTATTTAAAAAAATCAAAGACTATAGAAATATATAGTACATGTTTGCAAATACCAGAGACAACTAATGGTAACAGTTTGGCTAGTTTTTTTCTATACCTATAATAATGTATTATTTTCTTAATTAATTTTTTAAAATTGTATTACTATTATTTGTAGTTGTGCAAATCGGGAGCAATCTGTGCAACTTCTTCCTTTTTCCATAATAGAATTCTTTGGTGCTTTCAGAACAGATCATATAGTTATCTCATACTCTTTTTAATAAGACTCCTTATTTCACTTCATTAATGTGCCACAGAGAATCTAGGGCCACTAGGGAAACCTAGGGAGGCCCATCAGCCCACATGGTAACTTTTGTTAACTAGAAAAATTGGTGTGTATAAATGGACACCTGTGGCAGAGAACAATCTATACAAACATTAGCAGAGCCCTTGAAGATGCCAAACCAATTTTTAAAATCTTTAGTGGAGCTCAGAAAAGAGCCTGAACGCTGAGTTATAGATTTGGTTTCTTTTTCACAGGAGTCATGGTTGAAATCTTGGATGAAGGAGATATGGATAAAGTCTCTGAAGAATAGATTACATAAAGAAAAGTGTTAAAGGATGATAACTCCAAAATCATCTGTGAAAACAGCAAATGCATTATTTCTGAAATTTAAATTGTTAAACCTAGAACAAACAAAAGCCTATAGAAGCTCACTTAATTAGCCTAGCTAATTTTAAAAAACAAGGGAGTTTGTACCAGACAAGATTTTTAGCATGGTTGTAAATGTATACTTGTTAGTATGTGAAATGCAAATGTAAGTATTATTTTGTTAAGAATCTCTTGGTAAAACGTATAATTAGGGACACTGAAATCCCACTTGCTTAAGTATTTAAAAGTAGGAAGATTTTGCTAAATTGTTTAGTAATAATAATACCTGCATTTACATTCCTGGAACAGACTTCTGAAAAAAGGTAGCCTTGTAAATAATTATCAGAGAGAAGGAGTGAGACAGAGAGAGATGGGGCTATTTTAGTGGCCTGTATACATTTAATTTGAGATCCATCCATCTATCTATCACTCATCTATATCTTATCCAATGACTCAAGTTCATTGGTAGACAAACAACCAAGGAAATAAAATATTGTAAAGGAAAGAATTAAATGTAAATCTCATGGATGATTATAAAATACTTTCTTAACGTCATGAATGAGAGCAAAAGAGTGGATTCAGTGATGCCACTAAACATGGGCACAATGCTTCATTTGTAACAATTTCCTAATTTAACAGATATTTGACAAGTTTTCCATTTTTGAAGCTGTGTTTTACTTCTTAAAAGGACTGGCAATCTGCCTGCAGTCTTTCTAAATCCCCATCTCAGTACCTCTCATATCACTATCTCTTGATAATTTTCCTTTCATCTCTTAGTGACAGATCTGAATCACCAGAAATCAGAAAACATGACTCTGGCAACTGGTTTGAACAGGCCTTGTTCAGTGGCATATACAGAATGTAATTTATTTTTTGTGACAGTTTTAATAAAAGTGACGTGAAACACAAGGGATATAATGTTATCGATATTGCACCTCAAAAGAGGAGAAAGTTTGGTATGTTACCTCCTGATTAGCAGCAGCTAGTTCTTCTTCCAGTGCAGAGACTCTTTCTAAAGAAACCCTCAGTCGCTCCCTTACCTAGAAGAAAAACCAAAATATGTGCAGTAATGTACATCCCATGCATATTGAACTGTGCTGAATCCATTAATATTACCAGAGACAGTCACATTTGGCAAACTATTAAACTATTTATAGCCTTAAGTGTTCAGAAATACTATGACTATGCTGTCACTTTAAAATACGACTGTATCAAGGGATTTTTCTTGTAAGCAAGTCCTTCTAGTGTTTCGATTAAGATCAACTCCTCTTGTACTGAATTCTGATACATAGTAAGTGGAGGCAAAGTTCAAAAGCTTATTATGAATTCATCTGAAAAACAGTCACTGATTAATCATAAGATACAGGCAAAAAACTTTTACTGCTTTAAAAAATAAGCTTTTTCCTTTGATGTTTAGTATAAAATAATTTGTCTAAAAGCAAAGGATTCTTAGAACCTGAAAACTGTTGCCCATTGCTAACAAAATTAATTTGTATTGGTTAGAGGTCCACATTGTTATTGAGGGATTGGAAAGTATGTAATTCCTCTGGAATTCCTAACTACTTTTCAGATACCAAAGGTTAAACCATTATATTTTACAGAACCAAAGAATGCACATTCAGTTTGAAAGTAATGATTTCCAAATGTTTCATATACAAATGAAACTCAGAGAAGAGTTTCTTTGATCTTTGTTTTCTTAGAATTTCTAAAATTGTTTTAGTTATCATATGTTCAGGTTTGTAGATATGCTTCATATTAAATGCATCAAAAGTAGAAAAGCTCAGAGAAAGAAGTTTGACTAAACTAAAATAAACGACTACAGCAGTTTAATTTTCCTTAAAAAAAAACCAACAAAATTTATATATTTAATTTAAAACGGAATTCATGGTGAGTTTTAGATTATTTTTGATTAACATTGATTTTCCATGGGAATATAAAAGTAAGCATTTATAATATGTAATTATATAAATTACATAATAAAGTTCAATTTTAGCAATTTATTAATGGTATAGTTTAATTAATAGTCTTTTTAGTTTTTAAAGTAAGATTTAACTGGGGATATAAGTTAAATACACAGAATATCTAGAAACCTATATACATAATAAATTTAAAATTGGAGTACATTTTCTAGTTAGCAGACATAAAAAAACAAGTGATAGCTTATGAATCTAGACTCTAATCAGAATTTAAAAAAAAAAATCTCAATTATTTTAATACAGCATAATGAAAACTGAAATTATTCAGGTGACTGGGTGTACTTAACTCATGAAATACATCTTAAATAAGAAAGAATTAATGCCTGAGTGGAGTTTTAATACTAATTTCATTAATATTATCATTATATTTCATTATGTTTAAAATCTGAAAATTAGTAATACATGCATAAATGGATATTTGATATCAAGTATAATTACACAAGATCCTTCATGATATTTAAGTATGCCAGATTGGCTGCCAGGTACCAATGCTGTTAGACAAATATCCAACTGTTCATAAAAATGCATGAAACTTATGCTGATTAATAACTGAACAAGAGTGACTTAGAAGGAAATCTTCGATGATTTGACTTGGGAAATACTTTTTTCTATGAGTTCTTGGAAAGACGCAAACAAAGCAAATATTCCAAAGGCATGAAAATGAGGAGGACTGCTGATATGTTGAATGCAGATATCAACAAAAATCTTAGTAGACGTCCTTGATATTTAAAAGGGATGATTGTAAAGTTTTATGCACCATTTCCTAAAATACTAGATATAAAATACGCATATTCTGATAAAAATCTAAGAATCTTGGTTGATGAGAAGAGCAATATGAAATAGTCAAAATGTAGATTAACCTCAACATATGAAACGCTAATCAGATCACATTTAGACTGAAATAAATAGGTTAGAGTACTATATTTAAAAGACATACATTTTTCTTTTCCTCTAGCCCACAAAATTGGTAAACATATATTGGAGAACTATGTCAAAATCACTGCTGGTCTTAGCTAATTGGTGTGTATGCTACCCTACAGCTCAGTGACTATATAAATGAGGACATTAATAATGAAGACTGCCAGTCATTGCAATTGTCCAGAGCTATGTTTAGTCTTTGTATTTTATTTAGCTCTCCTTGTGTTCTAAACCTTCTGTGGCAAAGTAGGTAGTTTCCTATCCGTGATATAATTAATTACATCTTCTTCTGATCTTTCGTATATGTTTTATGTTAATAACCATAGCACTTAAAATAGAATATTGTAAGTACTTGTTTATATGGTTCTCTCCTCACACTCCTGATCTCCACAAGAAGCTGTGAGCTATTCTTAGTTAGGAAAATTGTTTATGAAGGTGCTTAGGCACATGTCAACCTCTCAATAATTAAATGAAATGCTAATTTAAATAAGCATGTGAATCAACAGTGATACTAATATCTTTCGTAGTTTGTAATTTTTGTCAAGTGCTGAAATTTATCATTGATAAAAACATTCATTAACATTTACTGAGCATTTGTCATTTACTAAGTACTGGCTGGGAGCTTTACATGTAAGACAACTCTACTAGGTAGAGTAGGTATTATTATTCTCTTCATTCAAAAGAAAAGAAAACAGCTTAAAGAACTTAAGACACTTGTCTAGTTCAGTCTAACTCCAAAGTCCAAGCTCATAAGACTTTTCCTTCAGGCTATTTGTTATTACTTAGTTGATGATCAGTTCAGTTGCCCCTGCACTTAGCAACATCCAGGGTACTTCCGGTGAGTTACTAAACCCTATTAAAGTTCTTATGGTCACAGTATGAAATAGCTTATGCTAAGCTCACTGAACTTTAATATGTACTAAATTACTTTTAGATCCTAAGTTGTACAACAACCATTTTCTTCTTAAATGTACTCATATTTGTACAAAGTGCTGTTTTGTTTATTGCCTTCTATTCATTTTTTTCATAAGAGCATCCCTCACTTAAGTGATGTCAGAGCACATCTGGGGAACAGCCAAAATTATTCACTCTCTAGACCCTCATTCAAGTCACTGAAAACTGTTAAATTTTCTCTGAATAGGCCATGCTCTTTTCAAAGCTCTTGGTTAGTTCACATACTGAGCAGATTGCTTAGAGTATCTTTACTTCTCTGCCTAACAACCCTTACACATTTTAATACCCAGATCAAATTTCACCCCCTCTGTGAAGACATTCTTGACATTCTTATTACTTCTTCAAGCACAATTAGTTGCAACTTTTCCTGTGACTTCATATCACATTGTATATATCTTTGCTTCACATGGCCTGCTATTGACATATGAACTCCAGTGTGATGAACTCCTTACTTGTAAAGAGAGTGTGCCAAATATATGCCAAGGAGTCTCACACATAATAGCTATCCTATAAATGTACAGTCTTGCTAATTCTTATTAATGAAGTTTTATAATAAGAAAAGAAATATAATAAGAAAGTAAACATTAAATATATTAAATTACGATTTGACATTAGTTGATATTATAGACAGGGATTTTTATATAATATCCATTTGTATTTTATTCAAAATTATTCATAAACTAGTTGCCTCTCATACTAAAATTAAGATAAAGTTTCTTATTAATAATCTTGAAGACAGAATTGTAGTTATCCTTATACATGCACAAAATCCCCTGCTCTAAGAACATCTGAAAGACTGATGATAAAAATATGTATGGATATAAATATTAAATACAGCAAAAGTATCTGTATGCTCAAAATCTATATATAACTGAGTAATAATCCCTAGTTTGGATTTTAATGCTCAGAACTTGTCAGATACTTTACAATGAAGTGCCCCAATTCCCACTCTACAAAATCCTAAAGCCTTATTAATTTTAAAAATTTCATCTTTGAAATTTTACAAAATTGGAATCATGTCATAAGCCTTACTAATCTCCAAAGAATATTATCATCATATTGGCTTATTAATGTCCATAGGACTTATTTGAGTAACAGTTAAGAGAACTTACAGTTACTTTAAAAAAGACCTAAAGCAGATTTTGCTACTAATACCTTATACTGTTCCATGTGGAGACTCTTAAAAATGTGTGTTCAGTACTAAGCTATTAGAAATCCCCAAAATAAAAGGGCAAACTTCTAATGTGACTCTCCAAAGGTTAAAGTACATCCAGTTTATATCTCCAGATGTTTTACTGTCAGCTACTCGTCTTCTACATGGCAACACACTTCAGAGATGTAGGGAGGAGAGAGGCTGTGGGGTGGGCAGAGAATGGGAGAGAGAAAGGGAGAAAGAAAGAAAGGCTAAATGGCAATATTAAATTTCAAATGGCCATCTGGACTAGGACCACAGTGTGCCATAATAGAAGTCTTAATAAGCCACAGAGTCAGTGGTATTAAAAAAAAAGAATGTGGTTATGAATATTACTTACATACATGTAATAGTCCAGCTGCATTTTTTGAGTGGTTTTTCCTGTAAGTCCAATATGCTCCTCTGAAATGACTAACTTTAGCAGTCAGCTGAGTCATGGATGAAGACAAGGAGTTTGATGACGATGACAAAAGCATAGTTAAGCTTGAAATCTTTTGGCAATACTATACCTTTTCCCCAGTAGTTTGATTTTTAATTTCAGCTTTATTGAAGTTATAATTGACATATAAATATAATAGTCCTTTCACAGTACTATACCTTTTCATCCAAGGCCTTGTGGTGCTCAAATAAAGATTTCAGCGCCTTGAGAACCTCAACTTCGCTGGACACTCCCGAGGGTGACTGGGCTTGTCGCTTCACCACCGTCATTCTTAGTGACCTTTCATGTCGTGACACAAGGCACTCCAAATGCTCCAGTAATAGCTATTGGGTTTAACAGAAAATGTCATTGCCTTATGAACACAGGTCACTAATGCACAGAGATGATTTCTATCTTAGCAGACTGCAGATTTATATATTATCTAATGATAACATCAGATGATACTAGCATCAATGAAACACAAACCTGAGTTCATAAACCAGGGTTTATGGAACAATATACTAAAAGTAAATTGCATTTCTATCACATAACAATTTATTAAATTAAAATATAATGTGAATTATATGCATTCTTTTATAAGATTTAATAATTTCAGTTTAAATTGAGGAGAACTAGAACACACCATATGTGAAAGTGAAAGTTGCTTGGTCATGTCCAACTCTTTGTGACCCCGTGGGCTATACAGTCCATGGAATTCTCCAGGCCAGAATACTGGAGTGGGTAGCCTTTCCCTTCTCCAGGGGATCTTCCCAATCCAGGGACTGAACCCAGATCTCCTGCTTTGCAGGCAGACTCTTTACCAGCTGAGCCACAGGGGATCCAATAAATAGGGTAACTACTGAAAAACGTTACACAATGATGACTTTGTTAGAAAACAGAATTCAAAGTCAAAATTAATTTCACTTATATATATTCATTTAAATTTTTTAAGTTGAAGGAAATGAGCATAAACTTCATGTTGCTTTAAACTGGATTATAATGACAATCACATGTTGCTATAGTAATTAATGTGGTAGCACTAATGATTTTATTCACAATTAAATTCTTGGATTACATAATAGAAAAATATATGCAGCTGACTGGAATATAGTAATTGAGACCAGCAGTAGTCATTTTGGGAAGAGATTAAAGGACATAATTATTAAACTGTCTACTCTGGAATGTACATTCACCCAGAGTAGTCTCTGATGCCATGATAGAGATTAGGGGAAAGTCCAATGAACAATGTCTCATTCTGTCACAGACGTTATGCTCTGACTTTTCCCAAATAAATTTTGCTTTTAAATGATTTGTGAATTGGAGTTTCACCTTTATTTTATAAGGCAGTTCTGCAACTAAAAGATATATGAAAAAAAAGAAAAAACTATTATCAGTTATTAAAATTTTGCTGGTGAAGACCTGTGGCATTGGAGATGACTCGAGAATCCCTTGGACAGCAAGAACATCCAACCAGTCCATCCTAAAGGAAATCAGTCCTGAATATTCATTGGAAGGACTGATGCTGAAGCTGAAACTCCAATACTTTGGCCACTTGATGGGAAGAACTGACTCATCTGAAAAGACCCTGATGCTGGGAGAGATTGAAGGCGGGAGAAGAAAGGGATGACAGAGGATGAGATGGTTGGATGGCATTACCAGCTCAATGGACCTGAGTTTGTGTAAACTCTGGTGGTTGGTGATGGACAGGGAGGCCTGGTGTGCTGCGGTCCATGGGGTCACAAAGAGTCGGACCCGATTGAGCAACTGAACTGAACTGAACAACATATGACTAGTAAGGAGAAAAGATTTTCGGAAGGTGAGTGAAAGCATAGGCTAACAAATGGTGTCTAGGCAAAACAAGCAGGATAACTGAAATAATAAAGAAAAAGCATATATAAGATCCTGAGTTGGAAAGATGTAAATAAAAACTATTATCTTTCAAGAGTTTTCCTAAAGCTCATACTATAATGAAAAATTTAGTTTTTCCACAATACTGCTATTAATTTCAGTGTCACATATTAGTGTCACGTTTCTCAGTTCTTAATAAGTTAATTTTTCTGTATTCACTATCATTAATTTATGGTTCAGTGTATCAGAAAACTTTGCCTATTACTAACAAAAAAACCCCACAAATATCTGAGATCCTAAATGTATATAGATCAGTCAGTAAGAGTCATATTTAAGCATCAAAATAATAGTTAAAGTTCTTCAGTATGAAGATGATACAATCAATATTTTCAAAGAGCTTTTATTTACCAACCTCTGATTATAACCATGGTATTCTACTCCCCTGAATTCTGTAGATTCTATAGACACACCTATAGACGTGTGCACTGGTTAAATCCAAGCTGTTTCACATAAGTTATAGAGCTCTGAATATTGCTCCAACTTTATCTGATATTAGTTTTCCCTTCTCAGCATTTGTCTATATCTAATTCACCATTTATTTTACACATTTACCTTGTCTAAGTCTGTCTCTCAAAAAACAACATAAGTTCCATGATGAAAGTATTTTTATTTATTAATATTTTCCCTATTTTGTCCATTGCCATATCTCTTAGTGCCTAGAAGACTGGCACATAATAGATGTGCATAAATTTTTGTTGAATGAATAAATGAACAATGATTAAAACAGTAGTTTGTAAGAGCTATGTCTGTAAGTAACAACTCCTCAAACAAATGGGAATCTGGGATATCTGACCCAGATAGATTGGACAAATCAATAATTAGATTAACATCAAAAGAAGGAACATTACCTTCTATGATTCATGGATAGTTAAATGACCACCTGAGTTGTCCTGAAATGAGGTGCCTCCAAAAGTAAGGCTTTGATGGACTAAGTCACAGGGACAAGACACCATCTTGAAGGGCAGGAAGAACATAAGGACAATGAGGTGAGCTGGCTTCTTTGAACTGCATTGAGGAGTTAAAAGAAATAAAATGACTTGCATAAAGTTTTAAAATTTAGGTCAATGCTCAGAGAACCCAGAAGTTGCTGTGGCTGCTCAGAAAAGCCTCTTACTGAGGTCCCAAGACAAAACAGAAAAAAAGATAAAGAGCCTGATCTAGGAGAGGTCACTGAATTACAATGTATGATGAATTCAGAGCCTTACCAGATAGCTTATTTTGGAAACCTTGGAACTACTCTGAAAATGAAAAGGCACCCCCAAGAATTAGAAAAAGGAAATTTGGAAAATATTCTTATTTCCCAAACTCCAATGAGCTGCTATGCTTCACTGGTACGTTACATCTTATTTGTCTTGATGACCATGCATGACTTCACATAAAGCAGTTACCTTGCAAAACAAAACCTGTGTTCCCTCTGCTTGAATCTGTGGAGGTCTGTGACTGTTCTAACCAACCTGTGTTGTAAGTTACAACTTGTGACTTTTGAGTCTAGGTCCTAAGAGGCAATGCAGTTTCTAGCTAGTTCACTGGAACTAGCTCTTAGGTCCTGGAGCCACTGCATAAAAACTCACTACTCTGAGACCACTGTGCCCTAGAGCTCACATGGACTTTCTTACATGCAAAGTCCCAGCTGAACCTGTCTGTCTTTCAGTCACTCCAGCCTAGGTGCCAGACACAAGAGCAAAGAAGTCATCTCACAAGTAGACCTTTCAATCTGCAGATATTTGAGTCACCACCTGAAGACCGTATGCTAAAGTCGTCCCATACCATCTTATGAGAGAGGATAATTTTCAGAAATCTTGTGAGCTTGTGGTTAAACACAGTTAGTTAAAGCTTAAATTATGTAAGCTTATGACTCAATGGACATGAGTCTGAGCAAACTCCAGGAGATAGTGAAGGACAGGAAGGCCTGGCGTACTGCAGTTCCTAGGGTCGCAAAGAATCATACATGACTTAGAAACTGAACAACAACAAATGATTAAATATTTTAAAAAAACAGTAAACAGTCAATATATATCATTTCCTAATTATCTTACTATATTTTACTATTACCAATGTCCATGGGGTTGTTTATTTCAATTGTATTTGAATAACAGAAATACTATATAATGGTTCACTACTGTGCATTTTTTCCCAACTCTGCATTCAGTGACAACAGTAGTCTGTCATTGGTAGTTTGAAATCAGCAACAGTGGGAGTATTTCCACCATGAAAAATGACTAACACTATATATGTTTTGCTTTTTCAGATAAAAAAAAAATCATTTACCAGTCACTGTGTGTGTGCTCAATCGTGTCCAAACTCTTTACAATCCCATGGGCTGTAGCCTGCCAGGCTTCTCTATCCATGGGGTTTCCTAGGTAAGAATACTGGAGTGGGTTGCCATTTCCTTCTCCTGAGCATCTTTCAGACTCAGGGATTGAAACTGTGTCTTCTGCATCTCTTGCATCAGCTGGTGGATTCTTTACCACTGAGCCCCCTGGGAAGCCCACTAAACCTCAAGTCATCCCAGCTGAGAGCCCCAAACTTAAGAAGCAGAAAATGGCTGTCATATCCATGCCCTTTCTGAATCTCTGACCCACAGAACTGTGAGTGTAGTAAAATATTGATTGTGTCACTACATTTTGGGGTGATCTGATATGAAGCAATAGATAATCCGAAAATCTTCCCTAAAGGGACCTACAACCATGTAGTAACGGCTAAGGAAAACAGATTACAAACATTTCTTTGGATATTAGCTCTAAGCTAAAACTACATGTTTGGTTCTCACTGGTGTAAAGCTTTCCAATAATCTGGTAGACAAGATGATCCATCCAGTGGATACTGGATTATTTGTTTGACCACCACAGCATTGGCTCAGTGGTCATAATCTAGTGACCATGGTTTCAGGGATAGGACTTCTTTATTGACCTGACAAAATGGGCTTCTCATCATTAAGGGTGATAGGCTACTACTCCAGACGAACAGCCAAGTTATTTGCTGTAGCCATCAACCTTGAACCTCTGAATACAATATACTTGGAAATCAACTATCCATCTTGAAGCAAGCAGATTAAGTCAAACCCTCCCATTAAAAAAGCAGCTGTCTTTTGTTACTGTAATGAACACTTTTTCTGAATATAGATTTGCCTTCTCTAATGGCTATGCCTCTACCAGTAACACCATCTTATTAGATTTTTGCTAACAATCCTATTATCATACACAACACTACTTTTGCACCACCTCCTAAAAAATACAGTGAAAGGGCTAATGCAATTGACTGATGCTCTCAGCCCTGGTTTTACCATGCCATCACATCGTTCAGAAGCTGCTAATCCTAAAGAATGGTTAAGTCACCCAAGGAAGAATCTATTTTGATTTAAGCTGAGAGACAACACATTGCTAGGCTGGGATGTTCTCTTTCTGTAGTAAGTATACACTCAGAATTAATGATAAAA